ACCCTGTGGTGTTTGTTCTTCTGCCAGCTACTTTCCTTCCCCACTTTTCCAGAAAGGCACGGAGCTGGGAGGTCTGACACAAACTGCTGATGTCTAGTCTTACGCATCTTCCAGCTACCTTTTCCAACCCAGTCACATAAATATCTTTCCATTTAAGTCTATTCGCCAGCCTGGTGCTTCCCAAAATGGTGGTGTTGCAACCCCCCCCCCCGCACCCCGGGGGGTTGCAATGGGCTGTCAGCAGTAGGGCAAGTCATGTCTTACTAAAAATAGAGTCCCAAAGTCTGCAAACAACTTACTTTTCAATACATAAATTAAAGAGAACTCAAGTTAATGCCTGTGATATGTCACACTCAGTCGCCCTGAGTATAATCTCTTGTGAAAGCCCATAATTGTTGGTTGGGCGTGGATAACCGTTATTTTCAAGGAAGCAATTTTTAGCTCTTAAGGGAAACCACAGCTCACGGTGCCTGTCTTTGATGAATGTTCCTCCTCACAAGAGAGTACAGAGTTAAGGATTGGGCAGAATGGCCCCCATCCGGGTTCATATCCCAGTCCCGCCTCTAACTAGCTGCCTGACCTTGGGCAAGTTACTCAGCCTCTCTCTGTTTTCCCCCCAGTAAGATGGAGAGAATAAAAGTATGCCCCGTGTAAGTTGTTGTGAGGATTAAATAACGTGTATGAAAGACACAGAACTGTGCCCAGGTCCTGGTAAAGGTGAGTTTTAGAGTAGCTGTTGCTATTTATTATTGAGAGGCTTTTACTTTTCTGAAGATTTTCCTTGATGTTTTACCAGTAGTTTGGTCTCTGCACATAAAGAACAAATACTTCATTACTGCGTTGAGTAATGCCTGCACATAACTACATAGGGTGCCTCCCCCTGGATTTCTTTTTTTTCTTTTTTCAAGATATTTCATATGCCATGGGCCTCTTCCTTGGCTAACTCCAGACATATGTCTTGGGCTTGGGTAGCTCCAGGAAAACCGAGATCTGGCACAAGGAGCTGTTCTCCAAAATGTTTCTTGACTCTCTTCACTGGCTCCTCACACTCATACCTTGATTCATTTCTCCTTCCCTACTTCCAACAGCTTTTCAGTTCTTTCTGTTTCTGGCTGGTCCAGGGAGTGGGGGAGAGAGGAGATTCCTGCTCCGGTCTTCCAAGCTGTAGCAAAGCTGGGTCTGAGCCAGGGGGAGGAACAGGAGTCTAGGAGGCGAATTCCAGGTTGAAGTTCCAAACTATTTTCCAACCAGCGCTGTGTACTACTGTGTGCCGTGGGTTAAGCTGAAGTCTGTGACAGGTCTAAGTGTTGGAGAGGCTACAGAAGAGAGACTCAAATAGAGACGGTGTCCTGGACAAAAGTCTGCCTCTGATGTGTGAAAGCCACTCTTGGCTTTGAACGGAGTGACATCTTGCCTTTCTTGCTACCTAATTGTTTTTACCCTTTATCACACAGACCCTACAGAAAATAAATTAATATATGTTAAAAGTCCATCATGTAACCAAGGAATACAAATAAAGATAATTTCTTTCTTCCCAAAGGTTGTGGGGTCTCAGCCTCACCATTGGGCAGAGTCACCTGGGAAGCTTCTAAGAGGTTCAGATGCCTCCCTTTGTGATTTCATTAGTTTGGGTGAGGTCTGGGCACTGGCATTTCTTTCTTTTTTTTTTTTTTAATTTTTTTTATTGTTATGTTAACCACCATACATTACATCATTAGTTTTTGATGCAGTGTTCCATGATTCATTGTTTGTGCATAACACCCAGTGCTCCACGCAGACTGTGCCCTCTTTAATACCCATCACCAGGCTAACCATCCCCCCACCCCCCTCCCCTCTAGAACCCTCAGTTTGTTTTTCAGAGTCCATCGTCTCTAATGGTTCGTCTCCCCCTCCGACTTACTCCCCTTCATTCTTCCCCTCCTGCTATCTTCTTCTTCTTCTTTTTTTTCTTAACATATATTGCATTATTTGTTTCAGAAGTACAGATCCGTGATTCAACAGTCTTGTACAATTTGGGCACTGGCATTTCTTAAAGGCTCCTGGGTAGTGTTAATGTTGCCAAAGCTCCAGGGATGGGAGCTGGCTGAGGTGTGGTATTCACTGAATGGCTGTGGCCATCCCCCCCACACCTTCTTCCCCCCACTTCAGGCTCCAAGAAAAGGGTCAGGTGACACCAAAGACACCTTCCACAGAACTCGAAATCATATATCTGTGTAACCTTTTAACAAAGTTTTATAAATAGTACGTGGTCTATTGTTATCTACCTCGGTTTTTTTTTTTTTTTTTTTGGCAGTATTTTCAAGGGCTGTTTCCAAGATCCATCTTAAACTACTAAAGAAGAATTATTAGGGACATTCAAGAGCTATTTCTCCACAATATGACTCCAATAAATAAATAAATAAATAAATAAATAAATAGAGAGAGCGAAGGGTAGATTTTGTGAAAATGTATCTCTATTGCTTTTTTCCATTTTTCTCCCTACTGGCAAAATCTGTATGCTTCCTCTGAATGTCTCCTTCACAAATGTACAGGTTATTAAATAATAAAAGAGGAACTTGAGAAAAATGTTTGTCTTCAAAAAATGAAAAATGGAAGCAAAAGCTAGAATACGTGCCTGTGGTGTGTCAGGTCCTGAGACACCACCCAGTGTGGACATAGGTGCTGAGGTGTGCCACCCAGATCCTCCCTTCGGGTCTGTAGGGGAGGGTGGCTGGGGTGTAGGCTGCAGAGGGCTTACTGCTGAGCCCCTCTTCGGGAATTGAGGAATTGCTCTTGGGTGTGTACACTCCATGGAGCTGCCTTGCTCAGCTTTCCCCATCCCCTCCCCGCCTTGCAATCAGCCAGCATCAATAGTTGGTTGGTGTGCTATCAAAGGCTTGTGCCCCTTGCTGCAAGTCGGGATGATCTTGAAGGGCCATCCCAGCTCCAGAGCTCCCTGTTGGAGGGAGTTATGAGTTCCTGGCTGAGGCCTCCGTTGCAAGTGTGCTGTGGCTCAATTCCTCTTCTGCCCTTGCTCCCTTCCAGGTTCTGTTCTTGAGCGCACCCCCCAACAAACCACCTGCATGCGCCTTTTCACCTCAGAGTCGGCTTCCTGTGCGGCGTGACCTACTACAGAGCTTTCCTTCAAGAACGTACAGTCTAACAGAGAGGTTGGATCAATAAATGGGCAGAGACTGTGTGGTAAGTAATACGACAGAAGAGTCTAGGTTACTGGGTGTATAGCCCAGGGGGCGAGGAGAGGTGGGGGATGAAAGTTCCTGCAGGAACTGGTTTCTAAGTGAGGTGTGAAGGAGGAGTCAGTTGTTCTGGAGAACTGCCAGGGGCTGGGTAGGCGCGAGTGGCACAGTCCAAGAGAAGAGGGCACGTCCAGTTCCAGGGGGACTGAGGGCACAGAGTATCGGGACAAGGCAGGGATGAGGCTGGAGAAGAGAGAGAGGCGGGAGAGCACAGTATGGCACAGATCGCGATGGCCCAATACGTCCTGCTGAGGAATTTGGGAGGGCTGAATGATTTTTCTTTTTTAAGAAGGAGCAACATTATCAAATTTGCATATTGCATTCTCTGGAAGATCGATGGGCAGCAAGAGAAGATGCAAAATAACCAGTTTAGGAAGTGCTGCTTAAGACCATGGGAAAAATAATAGTGGACCGTGGCCATAAGGATGGACAGAAAGGAATTTATTTGAGAGACATTTATGAGACAAATCAGTAGGATTCTGTGATTGATGGGATGATGGGAGACAGAAGAAATAAGAATGACTGCCTGGATAGGGGGGTAGAGGGAATTGTGGTGCCATTTACTGAGATTGGGACACTGGAAAAGAAGCAGGTTTGGGTTTGGGGGTTTAAGGTGCCAAAAAGACATGCCAGAGTGATATCGAATGTGCGGTTGTGGATATGGGTCTGAGTTTCTGCAAGGAGATCTGGGCTGGAGACAGAAATATTCATCACAGAGAGCAGTGAGAATGCTCAGGGAACGTGTGTAGAGTAAAAAGGGGGAGAAGCTCGTTTTTGAACCCTAGGGGAGATCGACATTTAGCAAACAAGAGGGGATTTTAAGGGAGATTGGAAAAGAACAGCCAAAGAGACACAAAAACCAAGTATGTGGGTCAGAGAACCCAAAGGAAGGGTGTGGTCAGATGATAAGATGGAGACTGGGTGGCCTATAAACAACAGAAATTAATTTCTCACAGCTGGGAAGTCCAAGATCAAGGCACTGACAGGTTTGGTGTCTAGTGAGAGTCTCTTTCCTGGTTCATAGACACCCTTCTTTTTGCTGTGTCCTTACATGGAGGAAGAAGGTGGAGGAGCTTGCTAAGTCTCTTCAATAAGGGCACTAATCCCATCCCTGGGGTCTCCAAAAGTTCTCATCATCTAATCACCTCCTAAAGGTCCCACCTCCAAACACTACCACACTGTGGATTAAGCTTCAACATGTGACTTCTGTAGGGACACTCCATAGCACTAGTGAACATTTGCCGCACCTCCTCTGGAGAATGGGCCCAGGGGAATATGGAAGGATTTCAGGAATCACTTAGGGTCCAGCTACTGATGGAGACTAAGAGTTCCTAGGGATTACTGCCTTCCATGTTGTGGGATTTCTCTAGGGTTCCTCAGCAGCACTGGGTACAGATCTGAAGTTGGACAGTAACATTTTGCCAGGTTGGTGAGGGAGGAGGACCATGCAGTGGGGGAGATGGAGATCTTGGCAGAGAAGGCTGTATTGATAGGCCTTGGCACTCGACATGGAATAACCAAGAGACTTAGAGGTATTGGAGGTTGGGTTGTTTGAATTATAAAATGTAGAGGCAAAGCCAGTTGGGGTGATGACAAGGATTCGGATGAGCTCATAAGAGTGGGTGGATGACATGGAGGGGGAGTGCAGGTCACCAGAAGAAGGATGTCAGGGAGCTGAGGGGCTGGGTGTTAGACCGGTGTGGAAGTTCCTCAGAACAGTGGAAGGAACTGAGCAGATTGGGGCCAGGGCTAGAGTAAGTGCCCATGGAGGACAGTATGATGAAGAGCAGAGATGCCTTGGAGTTCAGAGGAGCTCTCCAGGAGGCAGAAAGGAGCTCCGGGGAGAGAGAGTGGCCTCATCGGGGAATGAATGTGTTGCAGAAGGGGCCTCTGGAAAGAGCCAAGGGGTGGAGACTACTGAGAAGAACTGAGTGTATCAGGGATGGACTGATGGCCTCAGGGAGGACAAGGTAAGGTTGGGTAGAGGCAACAGTTTAGGGGAGAGAGGCAAACTTGTGCAATGCATTGAGGTGCTTCCCCTGGAACATGGAGACAGGAGTCTAGGTCAGTCAGTCCCCTACCTGATCGGTGGCTGGAGCAGCTGAGAGGCTCAAGTCTTCTGGCTAGGAGTCAGCAGAGGCCTGCCAGATGCAAGCAAGTCCTGGCCCAAATCAGAGCCTGGGGGTGGAATTCATTGGCTCTCAGTATTTCTAAGGCCCCCTGGGTGTGAGGGTTGCTCAGCATCCTTCAGGGAGGAGTCTGCTCAGGTCTAGACAGATCTGTGGGGCTTTGGGAGCCAGGAGCCATGTTGGGGCACTCTGGGCATGTCATTCTCCCATCATTACTTCATTTATTCACTCTTTAGTCCATTTATTTATTCCTGAAACTTACATTAGCTGTTTCTTCCCTTCCTCATTCTGAAAAGGATTTAAGATGTTCCTATTAGCACCTACTATATAGCATATCAGTCACATAGGGTTTCAGAAATATGCTATTCCCTATCAGCAATGCCTTCTCCATCTTTCCTTTTGTTCAAACAAAATCTATTCTTCCAACAAGGCCTAGACCCAGTTTCACCTCCTCCCTGCAAACTCCTCAGTCATGTCAGCCATGGTCTCTTTGGGGCTCTTTCAGTATTTACACTCTGGATCACATATTTTCCTATATAACTATATTTCATTCTAGCTTACCCTGCCTCTCTGACTAAACTGTAAGCCCTTTGGGCTTGGAGACTTAGTATATGAATTTTTAATGTCTCTAATGTCTACTAAGGCACTGAGGACATAGCAGGCCCTCAGTAACAGGCATTGCAGTTTAGAGAAACATGCATCTCTGCACTGGAGTGATTTTTTTTTTTTTTTTTAATAATGACATAAGAGCTTTTTTTTTTTTTAAAGATTTTATTTATTTATTTGAGAGAGAGAGAATGAGAGATAGAGAGCACAAGAGGAAGAGGGTCAGAGGGAGAAGCAGACTCCCTGCTGAGCAGGGAGCCCGATGTGGGACTCGATCCCGGGACTCCAGGATCATGATCTGAGCCGAAGGCAGTCGCTTAACCAACTGAGCCACCCAGGCACTGGAGTGATTCTTGAAGAAGCACTGCAACTAGGACTAATAATGCACTCCCCGAGTTTCTGAGGAACACTCCATTTGAGCATGAACAGTTTAAATTACAAGGTCAGCTACCAGAAAGAGGGAAGATAAAATTTGAAAAGCAATAAAGTAGCAATTTGCATTTGTTCTCACCAGAGGCTAAAGGAATACATTATAACACAGTGACAAGTTAATGTTGGAGCTTTGCTGAAAGTTGACTGTTACATAGATAGACTTTGTTGCACCCACCCATTTTAGGCTTCTGGGAAGTGTGCTGGGATTTTGCAGGTTCTTCTTGTTATGAGTTACTGCTGAGAAATCTAGAACTTGCCCACAAGACACTTCTCCAATAAAGAGATCAAGTGACCTAGTCCAAGGAAATGAGAAATAGAGGCCACAGTCAAGATTCTCCTTTTGCTTCACTCTGTGGGCAGGAGAGTGAGTGGGAGGAAATGGGGGAAATCTGAAAGTTTTAAAGGGCCTTTAAAATGCCAACGTAGAGAAATAAGGAAACTGGTTCTCAGCAGTCTTCCCTTTACCAAATTTTGCTTTTCACTGCTCATTTAACAACGTTTCCTTGGGTGTTTACTTTAATATTGTTAAGCTTTATTTTCGGGCATTTACTTGTCTTTCTCTATTATTTTATGCTCTTCTTCTTCATTTTATGCTCATTCCCCCTTTTTAATTCCCTTTCTCTCCATCTCCAAAGTCTTTATAAATTATTTTTTTAGCAAAAGTTTTTATTTCAAATGCCCAAAGTGTAGCTTTTAGTCAGAAAAGGATTGGGTTTGCATCCTGGGGAACCAGACCAGAGATTCTTCACGAGTGGCTGCTCTGTTGGATTTCTGTGTTTGGAATCTGTCTGCCTTGGCTCCGTATATCTATAACATCACATAAGGAACCTTCCAGCTGCATCGGTAACTCCAGGAGCACATTACAGGTGGCCACTAACTATAATGCTTAATCCATATTCATTATAACCTTGAATTGATTCATTGGATCATGATTGCACAATAGTTTTTAAAATGCAACTTTCAGTTTGTCTTTTTTTTTTTTTTAAAGCATCCGCCACTATGTGGCAGGCACTGGCCTAAGGATATAGATATGAATACATTGCATTCCCGGCTCTTGTGGATCCCACAGTGATAAATGCAAAATGAAATCTGGCATGTAACCTTCCATGACTGTTCTAGTTTCTGCTCTACCACCCACCCTGGGTGAAATATACTTTTTTTGGGGGGCGGGGATGGAGGGAAGAGGAGCGAGAGGATTATGCCTACGGTTTTATCCAGGTTTAATGACCCACCCAATGGGCATCATTTGTACAGCATGTATGGGAAGCAGGAACCTCAGCGGAGGTCAACTGCTCAGATAGCTGAGAGGCTTGAATCACACCCAGTGTAGGACTGGTCCAAAGAGCACACAGCTATCCTGGCTTTTCTGTGCTCCACTCCATTGCATCCTCACACCCATTGGAGACTGTCAGCCTGGCCTCTGGGAGGACAGAGGACCTACCATCCTCCTCACATACCATCCATTGCTTTGAACATTTATTGAGCAGTTACTCTGATGGAAGTAATTGTTAGACACTTCACATACATTGTCTAATTTAATTTTTACAAACCTGTTGGATAGATGTTTTTATTACCCCCATTTTAAGGATGAGGAAGTTAGCGAAGGTCACAGGGCTGGCACATGTCAGCGCAAAGCTGGAACTGCGGCCTAAAATCATCATGTTTTTTGACCAATATCCCACACTGCCCCTCTCTGGGATTCTCTACTTGCTCTCTAAGAAAAGAAGAGGTCTCATCAGTAGTGGTGGAGTTGATCAAAAGCCACTGGGTGTCTTAAATATAGTGTGCCTCTTTCAATTCAATTCAACAAACTTCCGGAGCCAGGCTCTGGGTTGGGTTCTGCAGGACAATATGAAATTGAATAGAAAAGACTGTCCTCTAGAAATTTGAGACTGTTGGAGACAGCTAGAACAAGGTGACTTTCAAGCGTACTACAGAACGCAGGGTTTTGAATCATCATTTGATTATGTCATTTCCTGCATTCATTTATTCATCCATTCATTCAACATGTATTTTCTCTGGTGAAAGGGTACTAGTTGAAGGGAGGCAGTTCCTGAATCCAGCCTATCATGTAGGGGAGACAAACAATCCAGTAGTTCAAATACTGAACTTCCTTTTCCAGGTGTTATTCCAATCATTAAAAAAAAGTCCATCAAAAGTTATTTGTATTACCTTTAACAGACATTGAATAAGTTTTTTTAAAATCTAATTAATAAATTCAAAATTAATCCAAGAGAGCAACACTGGATCCACCTGACACATTGTTTCAGAATTCAAGCATTCCCTCATATCACTTGCAATCATTTTTTTTTGAAAAATAGTGTCTAAAAATAGTTGTTCCCTGCTCCAATAAAAACAACAGCTGAAATCCTAATTCACAAAATACAGAAGTATGAGGGATTACCAATTAGCATGGCAACATTTTTTTCCCTTTACAAAAGAATTCGCTGATCGTTAAAAAGGCGTAACAGAGAATGAACGCCAGTATTTAACTTCCCTCATAAAGACATCGCTCAGTGGAGAAACTTAAGGGTGAGGATCCATACCCACGTGAAGCCTCTGGAATTACAATGGAAATAATCAAACGATGTGACTTGATTTACAAAATTGGGACTTAAGGACAACTTTCTGGAACAAGCCCACTGGGCAGCGCAAGATAGGGAAACTTTCAGTTAACCATAAAGCTGTAGGGCTTTGTGCAAAGAATTTGGGAGTGCGGTGGAATAGAGGGAGGAGGGAAACTGGGCTTTGCCTGGTTTTCTTATTCTTGCTGGGCTTCCTTTACTCACGCATTCCGTGCTCTGTGAGAGAAAATACGTTCTCAACTAAAGTTTTGTATTTTATCAGCAAATAAAGTTTCTCTGCTTTCTTTAAGTCACGAGATTACAGCGCTCGAAACTTACAGAACATACTTGTTGATAATCTTTCCTTCTCGGGCCGTTCAATTTGATCACCTTCAACCTGGGCTCCCAGCCTGGTTTTCACTTCACCATTGTAACGTGAGGCACATACTCACTTGTGCCTCGACGCTTATCACTCTCCCTGAGCTACTCTGCTGCCATTTTAAATCGGGTTGCCCCGTCGGTCGCATGAGTGGAGGGAGCTGCACTGGACAGCGTTCCCGGTTGCGAGGCCACACAGTGCGGAGTCAGTGAGACCGCGGCTTGACTTTTATCCGCCCGCCTTCCAGCGGCCGGGCCCCGAAGGCTGCAGAGCGCGCGCACAGCGCCCCCGGTGGTCGTTCCCGAGCGCCTCCTCCCCGGCCCAGCCCACCCCCGCGACGAGCCGCCTGGGCCACGCGGGCTTCGCGGGGCTCGACGCGCACCCTGAATCGGGTCCGAAACTTCGCCGGCAGCCCCCGCCCCGAGAGGGCCCTTCCTTCTTCCCAACCACTCTCAGAGGGAGGGGCGGCCGCTCCCCGAAGGCGTTCAGCGCCCAAGCCCCAACAGAGCCGCACGCGGGCCCGGAGCAGGGTGGGGGTCGCGGGGCCGCCGGGCCGCCACCAGGTCTTCCCCCGTCCGCGCCGGAAGTCCGCGCGTGCGCGCTGGCCGGCCGGGAGCGCGCGTCCGGCGCGGAGGGGCGGTGGGGGCGGGGCCGCGGCCGCTCACGGGGTGTCCCCGCCCCCGCCCCCCGGCGTTCCACGGTCGCCGTGACAACCGGAGCGGCGGCAACGGCGGCGGGCGCGCGAGTCCGGCGCCTCCTCCCGGCGGTACCGCCAAAGCAAGCAGCCGCCGCCCGGCCTTGCTGCTCTCCCCGCCTCCCGGCCCGCGGGGAGGGAACGGCCCGCCCTCCGCCCGCCCGCCGGAGAGTGAGCGGCGCCCGGGCCGCCCCGCCAGCCCGCCGTTCCCCGGCCGCCGTCCGGGCGCGCGCAGTGAGCGGGCGCGACTATGCCAAGATGGTCCTGCAGGCGCGGAACAAGCATCGGGAGGCGGCCCCCAAGCCGCCCCAGCCGCCCCGCGCCTCTCAGTCGCCGCTGAGGGGGGCGCCGGACGCCGGCGCCGGGGAGCTCGGGCCCGAGCGCGCGCCCCGGTCCCCCGGGCGCAAGGGCGCCGCGGGCAGGAAGGGGCCCCGCGCCGAGCCCGCCGCGTCTTCCGCCGGGGGCGGGCTCGGGGGGCGCCTGGTGGCCGGGCTGCGCGGGGCGCTGGGCCTGCGGCGCGCGGGGCGCGGCCGGACCTGGACCACGCTCCTGCTAGGTGAGCAGCCCCAGAGCGCGGGCGCCGCCGGGACGCGGAACTTTGAGGCGCGGGCCCCTCTTCCCCTCCCCTGTGCTCCCCTCTCACTTCCGCGCAGCTGAGCCCTGCCGCCGGGTCCCCGCCAGTTTGCAGCCCTCTCCGACTTTTCCTGGGACGTCCTCACCTCCTCCTCCCCTCCCCCTCCGCCTGGCTCAGCCTTCCTCGCTCCCTTCCCGTCCGCTGTCTCTGTTTAAGAAAAAAAAAAAAAAAAAAAAAATGGCCCCGAGATCAACAGCTGCCCGGCCTGGCGGCGAACTGACAGGTCTGCGCTAACGAGACTTGGGCGCTGCTGATTGGCGCGGACCGGCCGCCTTCCCGTTATCTCGGCCCCTGCGGGGAGGATGGTTTGCTTTGGGTTGGAAGCGGTTCCGTGGAGCTCAAAGCAGAAGCACGTTCCCTATCCTAGAAAGTTGCTAAACTTATAATTAAATTTTAGCGTGCTTTTTTTCTTCTTGGCCTCAAACACCGCCGGTGGCACTTTGTGATTCCTCTGGGCACGTCACTTTCCCGGTTGTGTTGTGTTTTGGGCACTGGCGCTCTAGTCCTCTCTTCTGACCTGGGAACGTTTGGTGTGGAGGGCTCCCCTCCTTTTTCGCTGCCATGCACCAAATGGATGATGTGCAGCGATGTGCTGAAAAAAATAAAGTTGAAACAGTCACAGGTTGTGGACCCACTTCAGGTTTCCTTTGATTGACCTTCCGATAAGGCGAGTTATAGCAGTTTGGATAATGGGCCTAATTTTTCTAAGCCAGTAAAATGTTGTAACACCGCCTTTCCTATATAATACCATTAATGGGCTTTGGCTACTGCATTATTTAACTATTGGTGATTTATGCCCAATTATCCTTTCAAATTCCCTCAGTGGCCCAAAAGAATTTGGATTTCAGTATAGGCGAAGGAATAGGACACAGCAATTCGGCTTCCCCTGACATAACATCCACCACTAGAAGCCACTCAATCATAAAAGGCCAGAGTCATCTCCGTGTGTGTGTGTGTTTTAATGGGCTCAGAAAAGTTGATATTGTTATTTGGGTACTTTTATGTATTGTAGATTCAAGCCAAGAAAAATTCAGTATTTTCAGTATATTCCTCCTCTTTTCAGTAGCGAGCTTGAAAAACCTTGCCAGTGTGCAGGTTAGATAAGTTCACCTTGGGGAGGCAGCATGGTACAATGGATGAGACAGGCTCCAAATCCTGTGCGGAGTGGTTGTTTGGTTTAAGTTTCAAATTATTTCCTTTGTGAGCCTCTTCCTTCTCTGTGACCTGAGATTATCACCTCCCCTGCTTACTCCATGGGAATGTTCTGAGGAGTAGAACTAAAAGGGGTGGCTAATATATGGGATGGCATTCTGTGTCTAAAGCCTTTAACAAGTTTTAGTTGCTATTATAAAAGTGCATGCATAATACTAATTTGTGACAGAATGAAGTTGCATTTTTGTTGAATGGCTAGTATAAACATTAACCACTTCATAGTGAAATGTGGAAGGGCACCACTTCTTTTTCAGGGAGGTTACAGTAACACCCGTAGGATAATCATCTTGCCGTTTTCTCGTAATTGCATTTACTTTGAATCTTCTTTTATTGGATGGCTTAGCTTTGGATTTAGTGAGCATTATATTTAATGCTTATACCTAAATACAGTTTTGTATTAATAGAACAGTGTGGCACTTTACTTGACTTACCCCCTTGGGCATTGGAAAGAGGTACAGTGAAGGAGCTGTCCCACATTTTTGGGTGTACTCTGGACACTGGTCATTGGATGGAGTTTGGATGATTTTCTACATCTATAAGAGGCCATCTACAGGATTCTGAAGAATGATCAGACATAGGATGTTTGGTTCTTCCTCTTGCCCTGTACCCTTGGGTCCTGCAGAAAGGAGCAAAGTTTAGACATTTTTGAAAGCTTCCTCATTCCCTCTCTTCTTGCCCTTCGCAGAATGAGCATGAGTTGAGCTGACATCGTACAGGTCTTTAGTGTGGGATTTTGCTATCACATAAATGTCTTCATTTATGTTTTGGGAAAAAAAATTTTACAACCTGAAGCTCCCTGATAGAAGCACACATCTTTAAGGGTTAGAAACTGACTAGAGGTTCTTGGTTCGGTTTCCTTCATCTCCTCCATACGTGCTAAGCACTGATGAGCTCACTACTTACCACGGTGGCCCTTTCTGCTGTTGGGCAGTGATAAGCACTATTAAAAAAATCTACTTAACAAACATACATGTTTTTCTTATTTTTGGACATTATTGGCTATTTTTTTAGTGGTAACAGTCGTAAAGAATTGTTTTTCAAATGTTTGTTTTTTGAAGTGTCACTCCAATAGCTCCCTACACATCAGTCAGGAGGAGCAGCAATATTGTAAAGAAAAACCATGATGCTGTTTTTCTCCAACTTTATTCACCGTAACTCACAGTAAGCAATACAATTTACATTAAACCTGCTCACACTTCTGAAAGTGCGACCCAGTACATTTATGCACGTGTCTGTTTTACTCCATTTAGGTATGTTGGTGTCCTGGCAGGAAACAGATTTAATAAACGGACAGTTTTCAGAAGTGAACAGTTTTAAGGAACCCATAAAAGACACTGAAACACCCATGACTGTCAGCAGTCAGAAGGTGCTACCACCTCTGGGCCTCCAGGGGAAGGGGAGCTTCATCAGGAGCTGACCCCAGGGAGAGCTGTGCTGTGGGAGCAGGATCTCCCAGGAAGAGGCTCCCCCAGACCCTCTCCTCCCACCCTTTGCTCTCCAGCTCATGCCCCTCACTGGCTAATGAACTGGAACCCCTCTGGCAAGGGACCCAGCTGAATCATTCTGTAGGGTTGGGAATAACGCAGAGAAGGGAGGAGAATGGATTTAGAGAAGCAATGGAGATCAGCAAATATGTGCATATACTTGAAACACGTTTCATGTAACAATACTTATTCCTGTAACGTACAGTATACTCTGATTTCCTGTTCTGTCCTTTTTAAAAGAAATTATTTTCTTTTCTGTTTATTAACTCTTGAGTTTTATGATCTAGTATTATAGCCTATGGTTTGAAAACACTGCCTTAGAAGAACTGTTTTCTGGTTCTATACCTGTTTTAAACTAGTTGGGGGCCTGAGCAAAAGCAAAGCATTTAGCTTCTCTGAGCCTCAGTTCGTATATATGTAAAAATGGGAGGACTGGATTAGACTGGTGGCTGTTAATCTTAGCAAAACTGGACCAGAGTCACCTGGAAGCTTTAAAAAATCCTGATAGCCAAGCCACACATCAGACCAATTAAATCAGAATCTGAGGTGGGGTGAGGTGGAGGGAAGTGTCAGTAATTTTAAAGTCCTATGTCCTGCCTCTGCTTAGTAGCAGACTGTCTAGCATCACGGAACTGACGTTCCTATATGGCAGTGACCCCCTAGAACTAAGGGCTTCTTGCCTTCCCGCTTTTATTTATTTATTTATTTAATTTTTATAATTTTTTAAAAAAGATTTTATTTACTTATCTGATAGAGAGCACAAGCAGGGGGAGTGGTAGGCAGAGGGAGAAGCAGGCTCCCCTCTGAGCAGGGAGCCCGATGCGGGGCTCGATTCCAGGACCCTGGGATCATGACCTGAGCCGAAAGCAGACACTTAACCGACTGAGCCACCCAGGCGCCCCTTCCCTCTTTTAAGGCAGGGGCACAGTCCAGTTTGCCCGTTTCTCCTAGTCTCTATTGTTTTCCCAAAACTGGGGCTGTGAGTTGCCATTCATCATCTGATATGGCTGTTATTTTAAATTAGAGTTTCTTGTACCCATGTCTGTTATCAAAAGAGGGAAGTAAACAGGCTAGCTGGAGAGGGCTCTGTGTTTCAAGGAGAAATGGGAGGAGTCCTTTCCTTTGTGGAAGTGAAGAATATGCCTGTTAAACATGCAAATAAAGCATGCCCCTGGTGAAAGACTACAAGGTAAGATGTCATATACAAAACATAATGAAATTGTAACCTGAATATGGAAGAGAGAGATAATGAAAACTATTGTTTTTTTCCCTTACATCTGTCCTGCTTGACTCGTTTATGTTACCTGTCTGGTTCCTAAGGTCAATGGCAACTGCTGTAAGTGGATTCTTTATTGGTAAGGCTTCTCATATGCAGCGTGATGACATTTTGGGTTGAATAATTCTTTGTCTGGGGGGGGTGTCCTGTGCATTATGGGATGGTTAGCAGCATCACTGGCCTCTACCTATTAGATGGTAGAGGTACCTCCCCAGTTGTGACAACCAAAATATATGTTGGTCTCCATATGTTGGTAAATGTCCTTTGGGAAGCAAAAATGCGACAGTTAGGACCACTGCTTTTGTTAGCCACAACTTATGGAGTGTGAAAGCCCATATAATGGGAAACACATATGACTTCTTAGGGGCAGAAGGGGTGAGAAAGTGGGTGGAGGCAGAGGTTGAGGCTAGGTGTTAGCAGTGGGGCTGGAGAGGAGGCAGCGTGGTGTGTTTCAAGTAGCAGAGGTGTCTCAGTACTGACCTGCATTTGGATCTTATTTCTACACGTAAAAGCTATAGATCCCTTAATATCTGACTCTTGGCTACCTCCTCTTTAAAATGGGGATGATAGGGGCGCCTGGGTGGCTCAGTCAGTTAAGCGTCTGCCTTCGGCTCAGGTCATGATCCCAGGGTTCTGGGATTGAGCCCCGCATCGGGCTCCCTGCTCCGTGGGAAGCCTGCTTCTCCCTCTCCCACCTCCCCCTGCTTGTGTTCCTTCTCTCACTGTATCTCTATCTGTCAATAAATAAATAAAATCTTTAAAAAAAAATGGGGATGATAAATGCCCCACATGGTTATGGTGAAGAATAAATAATACAGGTAAACAGCAGCTTTATTCATGTTCACCAATTACTGAATGCCTGCTATGCCTGATGCTAGTTTTGGGGGATAAGATGGAAGACAAGACAGCTGTAGCCTCTGTCTCTGTGGAACCCCATTCTGAAAGGGTCA